ACTTAAAATTCTATTTATTTATACTAAACATTAAAAATATTATAAAAAGAATAAAATCTTTTCTAATATTTTTAACTTTATGACTTTTGGATGTTTTTATGAATAATATGAAAAAAATGAAAAAAATAATATTTTTTAAAAAATAATTTAAATAGCTTCTTACACACTCACAACTCCTTACACACGGTCTCTTGCCAATTGTGTCATTTTATTCATTCAAAATAAAGTGGCACTAGAAACCATGTAAAGGTAGGACAAATTTGGGGTGCAATAGATGCCCCTATTTAAATAGCTTCACCGGATGATTTGAGCAGCGGAGACTCGAGAAATCGCGGTGAAAGGGATTTAAATACAGATAACCGGAAATTTGGCCTCTAGATGCAGTGATATGCAATGATATGGACAAAATAACACGAACTATAATGCTGACAATGCCATGAATATAATATGATGCGTATGATGGAATGATGAATGCAAGGATGCAGACGACACGACGTCAAAGGGGACAGCGCATCGAAGAATTGCACTGGGGAAGAAGACACGCGGTGGTGACAAGGTAACATAGGATCCACACGGAGACAGGACCAGGTAAACGACAAACGCTAGAGTTTTTGGGACATTCCTTGAAGAGATCGAGCGGGATCTTCAGGACTCACCGGAAAACATATAGGGAGAGACAAACATCAGAACATTTCGGAAGAACGTCGAAAAGGAGACACGTTGTATCTGGAAGAACGTCAGATAGACATGACACGAAATAGTTGATGGGTGCCAAGTAAACTGGACTTTGTCCACAAGGTAAGACGCGGATAAAACACGACCTCGGGGAGAAAAATGCAAATGGGGATAAAACACCCATGCTGTCAAGTAACTAAATTCGTCCACAAGGTAAGACGCGGATAAAACACGACCTCGGGGAGAAAAATGCAAATGGGGGATAAAGCACCCATGATGCCAAGTAAATAAATTCGTCCACAAGGTAAGACGCGGGTAAAACACGACCTCGGGGAGAAAAATAAAATGGGGATAAAACACCCATGATGCCAGGTAAATTGGACTTCGTCCATGAGGTAATACGCGGGTAAAACACGACCTCGGGAGAAGAAGAAAATGGGGATAAAACACCCATGATGTCAGGTAAATTGGACTTCGTCCACGAGGTAATACGCGGGTAAAACACGACCTCGTGAGAAAAAGCAAATGGGGATAAAACACCCATGATATGCACATGTGTATAAATCATGCTATGATAGATGATCAAATGACAATGCAGATGTCGACGACAAGGCTCGACTCTGTTGGTAAGATGACAAGACTGGAAAACTGATTCCTCAACCCGGAGATCACTGCCACTTGCTAAATTGTAATCAGGTTGATGGTCCTCGTAGGAAGGATGGAAAGCCGCTTGGAGATCTTTCAAGTAAACTGCCCCAGATTAAATTGTCCATTACAGATGAACTGATAATTGCTTCAGCTTGTCTGATTCTGAAAATGACTGTTTTACTGTACCCTCGGAAGGTTTGCCCCAGTCCAAGTCTTGAAAATCTCATGGATAAACCAGATCTGAGAAGAATTTTCCCCTGATAGGATCACTTAACCAAGTTTCTCGATTGTTTGAAATTTCCTTAGAGGAAAGCCAGTTTGCAAACAAAAATATTCATACAAACATGGTAATACAATGTTCATGCAACTTTTGAAATCAAAATTATTTTTGAAAGATGAAAAATAAATGAGTCATCGATTAGAACACGGCGGTCCAGGACGCTCTAAGTTTAATACAGGTATACGACTAAAATAAATGATTCACAAAGATCTTTAGGAGTCAGCTTACGCAACCTTGCTGTAGCATGCTTTCATAATATCCTTGTTTCAATTAGGTCTTTTGAGGGTTATGACGTGGCCTGGTTCACGGTTTATGAAACAAAGGATAAAGGCTCAAAATTTGTTTGTTCCCACCCAATCTACGTGATAATCTTCAGTCCTACGCTCAGTTAACTCATATTATGCATTCAGGTTCCTATAGGTTAGGAATTGCACTGATGGTAGTAATGATGGTTCGAAAGTCAAAGGACTCTTGAGATGGTCGTCACTACTTTCCTATAACATTTGGTTGTTTTGACATTTAGGATTTTTAGGGTAAGGATTTAAAACTCCTCTCTGCATTATCCCTAAATTTTGCCTGAGCTATTTCTTGTAAAGATTACATTCAGCGGGATGCCCCAGTTTTGCCTAAGTCTCCTTTATAGGTTTTGACTTAGCGGACTTTTTTTTTTTGAAAGAAAGTGACTGCCTAGCTTAATGATCACGGTGAACCATCATCGGCTTTTGACTTGGAAAACATCTTCGACACTTACTTGCTGTGTACGAAGGAAAACTTGTGAATTCAACCTTTATATGAAAGGTGTATTGCAGGAAAGCACAACCGAGTTAACTGAGAACTACCCATCCCCAGGCTAAGATTGAGGGTTTTTTTGTAAAGAAAGAAACTCCAACTTCTAGGCTCGAAGGGGGTGACAAGGGGATAACTTCCTTATTTCTCCAGTGTTTGGGAGTTGAAACAATGCCTCACATCATCAACAAGGATTCATTGAAAGCATACTGACAGCAGTTATGGGTATAACGTTTTCGCCATCCTCCCTCCAATCTTTGCATACCCAAAATTCGGACAAAAGTAAATATTTGAAAGATAAAGCATAGAGATGAAAATAATAGATAAAATGAATTAAATCAAAAGTTGCAATGCTCAGTTCATCAATATAAAAGTACAAACATAGTTCGAAAGCAAACAGCTAATAAAATAAGGAAAATACAAACAATGAGAAACAAAGGTCTGTGATTAAAACAATACAAAGATAAATTGTCATGTCTAAAACAAAGAAATAGCCTGCTGAGGTCAGCCCGAAGCTTCACTTCTGATGCCCTGGCAAAGGATTCTTCTGGATGTTCGGAGGATTGTCTGGAAAATCAAGTATCCCTGCTCTCATAAGCTCACGCACTCTGGCTTTCAGTGCAAAACAATGCTCCAAGTCGTGGCCTAAGGCACCCTCATGAAAAGTGCACTGGAAATCAACCTTAAATCCAGCTGGAGGAGGTGGTAAAGCCCTTGTAGTGATCAACCCTCGTTGAACCAGGTAAGGATAATGTTTTGTGTAAGTCATGGGAATAGGATCAAATTGATTCCTATTTCAATACTGGTCTTGTCTAATAACTGGACGTTGAGGATTCTGAGCTGGCTGCGGAGCAACAACAGGTTGAGATCCCTGGCGAGGCTTTCTTGATTCAGTCATGACAGCATTGGTCTGCTCGTCCTTCCTCTTATGGAAATTCCCATAGGATTTCTTTGCACCATTAGAAGATTCGGCAGCTTTGGATACCTTCCCATTTTTCAAACCTTCTTCTAACCTTTGGCCAATAGTCACAGATCTGTAAAGCTTGAAGAGACACTCCCAATCATCTTTTCCCAATAGAAAGGAGACAAAGTATCCATGAATATTTCTGTCAGTTCCTTCTCTGCTATAGGGGGTTCGACTCGGGAAGCTAACTCCCTCCAACGCTGAGCATACTCCTTGAACGACTCTTTTTCCTTCTGAGACATACTTTGAAGTTGACGACGATCGGGAGCCATATCCAAATTGTATTTGTATTGCTTCATAAAAGCGTTGACAAGATCTTGGAAGCAGTGGACACTGTTATGCTCTAAGTTCATATACCATTTAAGAGAAGCACCACTCAAACTATCCTGAAAGCAATGGATGAGCAACTTCTGATTGTTGGTGTAAGCTGCCATCTTTCGAAAGTACATGACTAGATGGGCTCTTGGACATGAATGACCTTGATACTTCACGAACTCAGGAGTCTTGAACTTGGCAGGCAAAACAAAACCAGAAACTAGGCACATATTATCGGCATCAACATTGAAAAAATTTGTCTGTTGATTGGTGTTATAAAAAATTTTGTCTGTAGATTGGTGTTATAAGAAAATATTAATGTAACGAAAATATGTTTATGTATATTTCGAAAAATATTAATGTAAATTTTTTTTTCCACATTAATATATATATTAATAAACAGATTTTATAAACATATTAGTATATATATTAATAAACAGATTTTATAAACATAAGTATATATATATTAATAAACAAACAGATTTTATAAACATACTAAGATTTTATAAACATAACAGTATATATATTTATATACTAAAATTTTATAAACATAACAGTATATATATTTATAAACAGATTTTAGATTTTGGTATTAGTATATTAATAACAGATTTTATTAAAATATTAGTATTATATTTATTAGTATTAGAATATTAATAAACAGATTTTAATTAAAATGTTAGTATTATATTTATTAGTATTAGTATATTATAAAACATTATATATATATTTATAAACTATTATAAAACAGTATATATTATATTATAAAACAGAATATTTTATAAACATATTAAAACATATGTGTATTATATTTATTAAAATATTAGTATTAAAACAGTAAATATTAATTAAATAGTATTAAAACAGTATATATATTATTATATAAAACAGTAAATATTAATATTATATATTACTTAATTAAAACAGTATAAATTAATTAAATAGTATTAAATAATATTAATTAAAACAGTAAATATTAATTAAATAGTATTAAAACAGTATATATATATATATTATATATTTTTATTTATTATAAAATTATTTCAATATAATTATAATTTTAAAAAAAATAATATAATTATAATTTTTTTTTGATTGCATAGTAAAAAAGTAAAAAAAATAATTAAAATGGATAATTTTGAAATATTTTAAAAAAATTATAAATAGGATAAAATTTTGATTAAGTGAAGGGAGTATAATAATCCGAATTACCTTTCTGGCCCAATCCATCCGATACGACTTGTTCTCTAACCTACCTATAAATAGGTTTCTTTCTCTGTTGCACAAAAGCAACCATAAGGATTTTCTTCATCAATTATACTGCCGATTTCCATGCCTCATTCTGAAGCCGTGCTGCTGCAGCAGCTATTCAATTATGCAAATCAGACTTCAAAATCAATGGTATGTACTGAATCATTTATATTACGTTTGTTTTGAATTGAATTCGAATGAATTAAACTGAATAAAATTATTTTCTTAATGAAGAAGAACTCAGGTGTTACCGAGGATACACTAGGGTATCTTAATGCAGTAAAAGTTGCATTTGAAAATAACATGAAAAAGTATGATCGGTTTTCAGAAGTCCTAAGAGATTTCAGTGCTAAAAGAATTAATACAAGTGGTGTGATAGAAAAATTGAAGAGCTTGTTTAAAGAGCATAACTATTTAATTTTGGAATTCAACACCTTCATGCCATCTGAATATGAGATCAAGAGCACTGGTTAGTACTAACTTATTGTCTCTTGTTTTCTATCAATATTATATCTCATTTAAGTTTTAGAAATCCCTTAACATTTGTCATCCTTTTGATATAAAGGAAACAAATTAAAAGATAATGGTCATCCTGGTCAAGTTCTTCATTGGGATGTGCTTGATATCATTTGCAAACGATTAGATTTTGAAGACCTCTTATCGTTTTCTGGTGTTTGCAAGAATTGGAGGACTTTTCATAAATCAAATTTTTTCTTGTCAGAACCATTGCTCGTTCGTATGACTGGTAGTTATGATATAGGTGCTGACTCATATTCCTTTATTAGCATGCCCAATCAAAAAGTTTATGATTTGAAGATGATGAGTAGCTTCCAGTCCCCCACCTATCTCTATGTTAGAGTTTCCAGCGGATATTTCATCTTCTCCCATAAAAGTAATTCATTTGTGCTATTCAATCCATTTAAAAGAAAAAAAATGGTAATCAATGCCCCCTTTACAGTTGAATATATGACTCCTAATCGGTACGAATCCTTGCTTGCCTTTGAGAAATGCTCAGAGGAATATGTCTTGGTGGTTTTATGCAATGAGTCTAGCCATTTGTATGTCTATCGGTCTCGAGACTGTAGTTGGTTTATTTATTCAACATTTGAACCAGAAGAGGAGGTGGTAGTCAACTTTGTGGTTTTGAATAATATAATATATCTTGTCACTAACAATGTCAACATAGGGGTACTAAACTTGAATTCTGGAAATATTCAATTTTTAAATCTCAAGAATACTCCCAAGAAAGATCCCTCAAATTCCTTTAAATTGGTTAATTGTGATGAGCAACTTTTACTGCTTAATTTAAGATCCTCCCGCTCACGTAGGGAAGTTTACAAGATAGACTTGTCAACCATGAATTGTGTTAAGATGAAAAGTTTGGGCGACATTGCATTATTTTATGTTTCTTGGAAACACTGTCAGGCATTGAGCAACCCCAAGAGATTTGGGTATGAGAGCAACCATGTGTATGAAGCTAATAGTTTATATAATGAATGTGACAAGTATGATTGGAATGATGGTCGTCCATCAACAATATACCCACGTCCAGGTCCTCTTAAAGACTTCTTTATCTTTGATTGGTGCTTTAGACATGTAAAATATGAAGTAGATTATTCTTTAGTTGAATAGTTGTTACATGATGTTAGGACTATTTATGTTTTTCTCCACATTGAGGTTATGTTCGAGACTTCAATTTCTTTGATTGGTGTCCTAGACATTTTAAATATGAATGCGAATGTGAAAACCAATCTTTCAATGATTATGTTGTAATCTGAGTGACAGAACAATTATTATAATTTGTCATGTAAAATATACAACCATCATGCTTATGTCTTTAATATTTTATTTTATTTTTGGTTCAATATTGTATATACTAATTTGCATGCTACATAATACAAGTTATAGAACAATGTCAACCAAATATAAAGTATATATGTACTGATGGTGTGATGTTTTTGAATTTGTTTCTGAGCTTCAGAATAATTTTACTGAGTCTCTTCTATTCAAGTATTTTAAGATTCATGCATTGCTAGCAAGAGTTTCTTCTATTCAAGTATTTTAGGATTCATGCATTGCTAGCAAAAGTCTCTTCTATTTAAGTATTTTAAGTTATTGGTCGGAGGCAACTCCCGTAAAATATCTACATGAAAATCTATACTTAAGAACATTTTCAAAAGGATTTCTTCCAAGGTAATAATTGTCTCACTTTGTGGTGGTAGAGTTTCCTTTTAAATTATTATTTTAATTAAATTCTCATTTCTTTATATCTTTCTTGAAATTGTATGTGAAAGTTTGGAAGAATTTAGGAACACTCCATGAGTGTTTCTTTTGGGGAGTTGCTAAAAGAAACTCTAAGATCCCTTAGAATTCGTGGTCGAATGTATGTAAGTCAAAAGGTTTGGGTTTGAAACATGTGTTTTGTCAATTTGGAGTGTTGCATTTCCTCATATTTGCTCTTTTCACGCTAACCCTCTTCTTCATAGAGAAATGCTCCTTTGACACCAAAATGTGACACTACACCGTATATTCATACGGTTTTGTTTCTTTATTATATTTAATAATTAATTTTTTACTTTTTTCTAATACAACTGAATGCATGTGCTTGCTGTATTTTGCTCAGTGTACATACGGTGTAACACTTTTTAGTGTAAGGATAGCCACCCTCTTCTTCATATTATCTTCTTTCTTCCATTTATTAAAAAAAATATTAAATGCTAATCAAACTTAACCAAAATGGTATTAAACTTAATAAAATAATGGACAAATGCTGTAAAAATTGTGTTGACAAACTGTCATCTAAATTAAGTTGTTTCTTAAAAAGAAATGTCCACCATAAGTACTTTTCTTATCTTTAACATTTCCAACTCAACCAACATTACAATAGCCAACTAGAGAAACGTTGTTTCCTAAAAAGAAACATCCAGTACTTTTTTTATCATTAACATTTCCAACCCAGCCAACATCACAATAGCCAGCTAGACCAAGATGTTCCAGTATGTACTTAACAATTCCCTTGACTCGGATAAGATGACTAATCATAAGATTGAGTTGATTACGAGCATGCACACCAAAATAAAATGTAATGTTAAGACAACTAATTATGAGATACAAGAGACTTTTGGTCATACTTTTACAAAGACTTTATCAACATTACATCTTGATCATCCTTGGCAACAGATGTTCTTTTATGCCTTGCATATCAAATTTCTTCATTATTTATTTATTTATTTATTTTTTTGCATACTTACCTTGCGAAATATATATGCCATCTTTAATTTTATTTTATTTGAAAATCCATGAAGTATATAAGTTCTCCCACCATACTCATTTTAAATTTTGATTGCATTTGTCGAATAAAATAATCACCTATTTTGTTTGACATTCCTCCAAAAACAATATCATCAACATAAATTTAGGCTATCATAAGGCTTTCATTATTTTTCTTAATTAGGGTTGTGCAAAAAAACCGCTTCACAAGAACCACACTTAAAAATATGGTGCACCCATTTCAAAAGTCCATATTATTTAGATTAAAAACTAATCCAAATTCATTTTACTAAAACTATTAAAAACTGGTGTCCACTTTTTAAAACCAATATATAAATGGTTAGTCCACTTTTCAAACATAATGTGCTCTTTGTCTTGTTTCTGTATCATGTTCATAAATGACAATTAAAACAATGTATATTTAATAAATAAAACTTATATATATAGTAATTACTTTTTTAAGAGAACTTTGTGTTCTCATAGTCTCATAATGATGTATTTAGTCTTTCATCTTACATTCAACATTACATTTTAGATGCTTATTATTAGATTGAAGTTATATGATTACTAAGTTGTTTTTGTATGCTTCTTACCTTGAGTTAATTCAATTATTAAACTGATATGTTTTTTCTTAGACATTTTAAATATGATGCGGATGTGAAAATCAAATTTTCAATGATTATGTTGTAATATGAGTGACATAACAATTATAATAATTTGTCATGTAAACCAATGTCAACCAATTATAAGGTACATATGTACTGCTGGTGTGATGTTTTTGAATTTGTTTCTGAGCTTCAGAATAATTTTACTAACAACAGTTTGATCGAGGTCAATGTGACTGCAAACTTAATGGAAATGGCGGAAGGATTCATTCATTGCTAGCAAGAGTCTCTTCTATTCCAGTATTTTAGGATTCATGCATTGCTAGCAAGAGTCTCTTCTATTCAAGTATTTTAGATTGTTGGTCGAAGGCAACTCTTGTAAAATATCTACATGAAAATCTATACTTAGGAACATTTTCAAAAGGATTTCTTCCAGGGTAATAATTGTTTCAGTTTGTGGTGGTAGAGTGTCCTTTTAAATTATTATTTTAATTATATCCTCATTTCTTTCTTGCCTCCTTGATTTTGCATGTGAAAGTTTGGAAGAATTTTAGGAGACTCCATAAGTGTTTCTTTTGGGGAGTTGCTAAAAGAAACTCTAAGATCCCTTTACTATGCTAAAAAAGACTTTTAGTAGTGCTTTTTTTAGCCATTAGCAGCGCTGCCTAAAGTGGCGTTGCTAAAGATAAAGATAACGCTTTTTTAAAGTAAAAAACGCTCTTATATGCCCATTTTTAACAGCGTTTTTTTCTCCAGAAAAGCGCTCTCTATTCTCCCCACCTTTAGCAGCGCTTTTGAAAAGCGCTGCCTAGAGTGTATTTGCTTAATATTTTTTAATAGCGCTTTTATAAAAAGCGCTCTCTATTGCCCCCTATAGCAGCACTTTTGAAAAGTGCTGCCTATTCCCCCTTTAAAAGCGCATTTCTTAATAAAAGCGCTGCCTATTTTCCCATTTAGCCCCCTTTAGCAGCCCTTTTATAAGCGCTGTCTTTTCCATCACTTTTCCCCATATAGTCGCGCTTTTTGGAGCGCTCTCTATACCCCCCTTTTAGCAGTGCTTTTTCAAGAAAAGCGTTGTCTTTTCTTCACGTCATTGAATTTTTTATAAAAAAAATCACTTTTTCATAGCGTTTTTTTGTTAAAAGCATTGTCTATTTTTCATATTTTTTAGAAACAATTTTTGTTGAATTATGTTGCACCATTTTTTATAATTTTTTCGATAAACCTTCTTATAACAATTACGTTCATCATATGCCTTTATTTCAACACTTTGCCCTTATATATATACCATAATCATTGTAATATATTCAACACATAAGCCTGCTTATAATTTGACACAAGCCGATCCTCACAACAACTTCACAAATACATTCACTATACATATAATTACAAAACCGATAACTTTACAAATACATATAATTACAAATTCCATATTTCTGGATCCTCACAACAACTAACTTCTAGATTGAAGTATATCAACAAATTCCAAAACTACATACGACTTCCAAAAATATAATTATCCAGTAGTGTTTACATAACATCACAACAACACAAATCTCTATAAACTTCGATGATCAAAAGACATAAAGACAATATATATATACATTATACAATTCTCAACTCAAGAATGTATTGACACCATTCCTCCTTAATTTCTTTCAACTTGTCTTTCGAGTAAGTACCACACTTGAATTCATCAAAATACTACATAATATAACATAATATGCATGATTTAGTTTTAAAACTAATTACTCAGATGAAATATCGGTTACATACTAAAATAAATCATATAACTTATAAATTCATACCATGTTTGGAATCTCTATTTGACCCGAATGAATAATTTCATTCATAAACCTCAATATAAAATATCTGCAATCAATCCCATTGCGCTGACGAGGACACTGTAAATGAAAAAAAAAACGAATATTTATCAAGATATATAGTTTAACTAGTTTTATCAAGTAGAATCACTATAACAGTCAAAATTGTAAAAATATACTTGCACTCTGATCCAGCTAATGTTGTTAGCCTTCCTTTTTGACACTGTTGCTTGTCTTTGTGATCAAAATATTTGTATAGCTCTAACATAATATAAATGAATATTTAGAACAATCTCACATAACAAGTAAAGATAATTATTCAGAACAATATATCTCATCACTTACGTATCAACAATGTTCTTCCTATCAGGATATTTTATTTGATCACCATCCAATGAATCCAGATAATACCCTATTTCTTTTATCGGATTAATCGCAACCAACAACCAATGTCCACTGTAAAATAAGACAAAAGTTTAGACGGAAATGTTATATAGAATGGCGAAAAACGAATATATATAATAAATGGATTTAGAATGAAATCTAACTCATGGCCAATATTATATGGCAAAAAATAAAACTTCTCTGTATCTGCGGCCATAAATGCTTGGACTAAGTAATCTCTGACTACATCTAGAGTGTGATCGATTGACCGTGCGTTGATACAGCTAGAAGATAAAAATGTGAATCTCTCTGTCAATTGATGCGGGACCAACAACTTGTCATACAAGAACCTTAAATAAAAACATAATCAACATTAGAATATTCATTGAAATGAGCAAATAAATTATTCAATTATTTAATTAAAATTAATCAGAGTACCTGATTTATAAATGCATAACAACGATGCCTAATTCAGAATGTTGGAAAATCTTATCTAAATCCTCTTTAGCAATTGTTTCGGCATAAGAAAAACCGAAAATACCTTCCTCCA